CATACACAAGTAAATGTGTGTAGCATTACATACTAACACAAGTGTGTATTGCTAACTAGCTTTTAAAATAGCATATATATTTAACAGTTTTTTTCTTAGTTCTTCTGTGGACTTTGTCAATGATAACAGTGTGGAATTTAGCTGTGATTTCATTCTTTTTTTAAAAAATTGTGTTTTTTTTTAAAAAATCATACTATTGATTTTCTTTTAAACACTTGAGGGTTTTTTTTAAAAAATCACCATTATATCAAATGTGGAAAAATAGGGGGTAACAGCATGGATAATGTACATCACAAAGAATGTGAGACTACAGCAGAATTTAATAATCATTTAGCTTTAAAAATATAGAGCCTTCTTTAGATACAAATAATCATTTGATTCCTCCCCACCCCCCCGCAAATGCACCCCAAGACCCTCCTGAATTTATATCCATTAAAAAAACATTGACCAGTTCTGTGGACACCCTACTGTGATTCTGTTATACCAGAATATTTTTTGGTGATTCTCCCAGGACTCCCATGCCGATGTATCCTTTAAAAAAGGACTACACCTGCTTTTACACTTTCGCCACTTTGGCAAGTGGCCCCCAGAGGGCTGACATTGGTTTTTTTTAATAGGATTTCATTACTAACTTGGTTCAATAAATCATCACCAGCAGGACATATCCAATATAACATTTAGTGGAAAATTCTCATTTTTCAAATGAAAGTTCTAGAGAGCATGGAAAAGTTACCTAACATGACATTGAAAAGTTTAAGAAGAATTTGGCCAAAATTTACTACAAGCTTTGTATAGAGGTTTGGTGAAATTCATTATATTAAGTGTTTTTTGTGAAAGTGAAAGATTCACGTTTTTGGTGTGGCTGCAAGACTCTGAATTTAAAGGCACCATCTTTTCCCCTCCCTTCTTTCCTTCCAGGAACAAGGCTGGGGGAGAGCTACTCCTTTCGCATGCTGTAAGATCCAAAAAGAGACCAAGAAACCAAGAGTAACCAAAACAGTCTCAAGCATCTCTCACCAGAATATGGTGCCTGCTAATAAGAAAAACATGGCCTGGGTAGCACAGATGGCAAGAGAGAGACAAAAAATGGACGGCAAATTTACCGAAGGAGAACCAGTTTCAAGCAACAAAAAGATTGAAGTTTCGTGCATCAAACCATACAACTATGTCCCAATGATGACAGCCCATGCCGAGGGAGACAAGAAGAGAGGGAAATTAGACTCTATCCAAACATTCCTAGGTGAAAAAAGGAGCTTGCCAATAAAGGAATATGAAATCAAGTACTCACACCGGCAGACAGAACCTGACATCCTGAAATATAATGAGATCGGCCTGCCCAGAGTCATCCACGGTAATCCTCCTAACAGCTTGAGCTGCATAACCTTAAATGCATTTTTGGTCTTCAGACCAGACGAAGGCAATGTAATCAATTTGCATCTGGAGCCTCCTTCAAAGCATGGAGCAACGGCAGTCAAGAGAACTGAGGAAGAGGACAGCACGGACGCAGTCTCCTATAGCCACGTAATTAAAAAGGTAAAGCAGAAGAGTGAAAAAAAAGAAGTTGGTATGAATAATACGGTGAAAAAGCAAATACAAAAATCATGTATCGCCCTTTGACTTGTCCATGGTGCTCAGCTATTTTGTCTTGTCTTCAAAGCTGTTTGACTTTTTCCTTTGCACTGAATTAAGATTACATTCAAGCTATCTTCCCTTCCCAATCATTGCTATTCTAAATGCAGTACGAACACCTGCATGGTTTGTGCTGCCCTTGTAAAATTGTGACAGTAGCAAGGGCAATTACATTAATAATGAGGGAGCTTTAACTCAACAGGACTGATCATCTCAATTAATTGGCAGTGACTAATTTTAAACCAGTGAGGCCAAAGACCTGGGACTTAAGGGGTACTCTTGGTTTCTGAGGCTATTTTGGTTCTAGTAGTTTACTATAATTCAGAATGACTATATATTAAGGTGGTCATTCTTTCTCCCAATATCTGGAGCCCCAAAGCACCATGGGTGGTTTTTGGTTGGCGCACCTGGCCTTCCCAACTGCCCCTTTCAGTGGTAGCCCCTTTTAGGTTATGGGGGAGAAAGAAACCTATTTACAGGTAGTTTTCACAGGTTTATGGGGGGGAACCATTGAATTTGCTGTGTTTTAAATATTGCAAATTTTGATGTTACAATATATTATTATTATTAAATAAAAATGCAATATATTAAGACTGTAGACAGGGCACTGAATATTAGTGCTGTAAGGTTGCAGATTAGAATTGCAATCAAGCACAATCCAAAATACTTTTTTTGCAACACTGGGGCAATGATATTTTGATTGTCAGCTTATACCCTAAAACTAATTTGCTGAGAATAGGGAGCCTTAGCATTAGAACTCTGGCTGGTTATGAAAATCTAATTCTATTAATCCGTGATTCTTCAGTTAGAAGAGTTATTCCCCAACTCTTGTGTTTGTTTGTTTTTTAAAAATCTTATAGTGGAATAATTATTTCCCTCCTCACCCCAAAACATAGGTCAATTGTGTGGCAGTATAGTTGTGCCAGGGACGCGGGTGGCGCTGTGGGTAAAAGCCTCAGCGCCTAGGGCTTGCCGATCAAAAGGTCGGCGGTTCGAATCCCCGCGGCGGGGTGCGCTCCCGTTGCTCGGTCCCAGCGCCTGCCAACCTAGCAGTTCGAAAGCACCCCCGGGTGCAAGTAGATAAATAGGGACCGCTTACTAGCGGGAAGGTAAACGGCGTTTCCATGTGCGGCTCTGGCTCGCCAGAGCAGCGATGTCACGCTGGCCACGTGACCCGGAAGTGTCTCCGGACAGCGCTGGCCCCCGGCCTATAGAGTGAGATGGGAGCACAACCCTAGAGTCTGTCAAGACTGGCCCGTACGGGCAGGGGTACCTTTACCTTTATAGTTGTGCCAGTTGTGCCTATCAGAGATGCAGAAGAGCTTCCTTCCTACTGATGAGTAAAAAGCCCTCCCTGCTCAATGCCTACTGCATTTTATAGACTTTAAAAATAATATTCTTATAATGTGGAATTTTCCTTTACAGTAAACATGGGCTAAATATAGTCCACAAACTTTTTTTAAAAAAAATCACCAATTAAGTTAGGATACATCAAGTACAGCCTTCAAACTATAATTATTCTCTTAGCATGGCAGCAAAATCTTATAATTATTTGGAGGCTTAGTTCTAAGAGGTATGATAACCAGACATTAAAATGAGTAGCCTTTTCCTTTTACATGACCTCTAAGAACCTTCATGGGTTTGGTGCTTGTCCTTTAATAAATGGCGCTCTGAAACACAGGGCTTATCCACACTTCCTCTTGTCCTGCTGCTTTCCCCCAGTGAAAACCCACTCCTCATCACTCGGAGCAAACAGCAATTTGGGTTTCCCCCAGATTGCCATTTGTTCCAAGCTAAAGAGCTGGTTTCCCCTTGAACGCGAGCATGGCAAGGGGGAAGCCACTAGGACCTGAGCTATCTAGGTGTGGCACAAACAAAAGTGTGGATGAACCCCAAGGCTTCACAGAGGAGTCTGCAGAACTTTTTAATGTGTTCTAATTACTGTTTTTGCTGCCAATAAAGAGGCTAAAATAAAGACCTTTTTATTTTAGTGTAGACTATTAAGTAGTTTGGTGAAATAGCCAGAATTACACATAGAGGAGTCAGTCTTTGAAATGTTCTCTTTGGTCATATTATTTTTTTTTTGGAAAAAATTCTTACCCCCAAATGCCTCTGTCAAAAAACATGGCTGCCACCTGTGGGCAAATGTACCAGTCCCTTGCCATCCCTTCCAACATTTGAAGCTGCTTTGAAGGTCTTGGGGGGGGAGGGGATGAATAAGAGAGGGATTACTTCCTTGCTGTCTTAAGACACAGATGTGAGCTTGATGTGGATCTCCACCTTTTTTTGATGCCCACCCCAATACCATAGCCCCACTGAACAAAACAGCTTCAAGCAGGCATTTGTACACGTGTGGTGAAGGCACAGAGGCTAAGGCACTCCTTCAGAGTGCCCTTGTAGGCCCTACACTCTCCAGATTGGCTCTTGCTGCTGCTGGAGACAGAAAAGTTATGTGGGGGTCAGCCCAAGACACAGCAGCTAGCATCCCTGCCTATCGTGGCCCCCTTGTGATCAGGGAAGGATCAAGGTGGTGAAGCACGGGATCCCAGTTACAAGGAGGAAGTGCTGAGGGAGCTTTGGAGCCTGTATACAGCAAGCCTTTCATTTACTTTTGAGTGCATGGATGGGGTTGTGGATGCAGAGGTGGAGGGGCATAGCACAGGTGAGGGGAAAGTAGAGTAGATGGAGAGGGAGGCAAAAATAGCAAGTGATAAAATAATATGAATGACAGAGAAATGAACAGAAAAACAGAATGGAAGAGAGGAAGAATAGCTGGTATGAGAGGGTTTGTGTATATGTGTGTTTGAGACTGGATGGAGGATGGAAGCATGTTTGTTGTGTGTAAGGATGGAAGGGGATGGTTTATGTGATGAAATGGAGAAAAGCTGTGAGGAAAAAGGGGTGGGCTATCCGTTGGCTCCAGCCTTGCCTACTGCCGTTATGCGGCCCAGCCTCTGACCACCTTTCCCCCACGGAATGCAGCCCCTGCATTCAGAACTGTTGGCCACCCCATATTAAACCATAGCCACGCTTGCATAGCCCTGGGAAAAGAATGCCAGGATGGCTACATCTCCTGCAGTCACTCCCCATCATTTGCAAACCCCTTGCATCAGGGCAAAACCATACCCTTTATCACTACTTTGGTTTTAAGGCAAGGAATAAAAAAGAAATGCTATCTCCATCCACACAGTCAAAGGCTATTGCACTACAGCAATTTGACAGGGGCTAGTGAAAAGTGTGACATTGCGTTTCCATTTCACAGTATAATCCACTTTCTAGACCTAACTATTTCTTTTCAATAGAGGAATGAAATGACAAAGAGTTCAAGTAACCATTTAGTGTAAAACAAAAGAGGCAGGGGAAAAGAACTGGTGAGTTAAGGCAGAAAGACATTTATTTGTTCATCTTTGTGACATAAATGTGTTTCATTATATATACAGGTAGGCCCTTAACCTGAACAGTTTTATTCAAGACAGAGAGTTTATTTATTTAAAGCTCACAGTATTTGCAATTCTATGCATGCAGTTGTGTGTGCAAACACCTAATGGACAGAGAAGAGGCAGTTCTACCATTTTACTGTCTGAAAGCAGAGGAAACTGTGCACTTGCATGTTGGTCTAAATTGTCATTGCATGCACGTGTAAGATTAATGTGCTCTTTGGCATTTCATCTTGAGTAGCTGCCTGAAGAGAATACGTATGAATCGGAGGAGAAAAAGGAGGCTTGTGGCTCCATAAAGAATAACAGATTTAACTGTAGTAGATACATTTGATCTTTAACAAAGTGGGCACAAATGAGGGGGGGGGACCCCTAGAAAAAGAGGACTACTCTGTCCCTAAACATGACAGAAAGGAGGGTGTAGTGAAAATTGCAGCTGCAAACGAGAATGAGATTTTCTTTCACTTACCCATATCCAGCCAGATATTAAAACTGTAATCATATGACAACCTCCTCTTAAAGGTAACAGGCCACAGTTCCATTTTTATTCAGGATTCCTCCAGCCCATCTGCTCCTTCCCCCTCAGTGATGAAATGGAAGTCATTCTCTTGAGGCTAGGAAACAGCAGCACTGTATTGTTTCCTTGCAAAAACTCCATAAAGTGCAAGAATTGGATACAGAAAATGTTCAATGATATACATGATCGATGCTGGAATTTAATACGGTGTAATTCAGATGTTTCATCTACATGCCAAGGTTCTGATACAACCCTTGTCCCTTTAATAGATAAACTGTGTGTATTGACTCATTTTCACATTTCAGGCAACTTGCAGTGGACAAAACCCCTTAGTTCACTGGTATTGTTCAATGACACAGTATTGCTTCTGACATGGTATACCCATGCTTAGGCTGCAGGTGGGGGCTTACATTATTGAATGCTCCTCCATACAAAAGGATTCCCTCTTATTTTCTATATGGAAAACTAGGTATTAGGGAATTTAAAAAAAAAATTGCAGGGGGGGTTGAGGTGTAATCAAGCATACGTGTTCCCATCTGCAGCCCATACACAGCCTAGACACATGTTTATTCACAGTGCAATCCTACATTTAGTCAGAAACAAGTCCCCAACCTCCAAAAACCCAAATCCCCATAAAGCATGCAGAGGCTCACAGAGTTTCATTTCCAGTGTCTGTGTACGCTATCTCAATCTGCAGCCAGATGTGAAGCATGTGTGTGTATGTATGCACACCTAGAATTTTTCTTGAAAATTAGCAAGCATAATGAAATGAAATACCATACTTTGATCCAGCAAGAGTAAGACATCACACTAAGCTCTGCAACTCAGGTTTTTTGTTTTCAAGTTTAGAAATATCCATTAAGCAGACTAGTGCTATTTCGTGGTGCAAAATGATATTCAAGAATGTTCCTTTAAAAGTTAATATAAGCTTTGCAAACAATTAAGAGGTGGTTGTCTATTTCCTGCATGCTCATCCTCTTTTACTCTTTCATCCATCTCGAACCAGCTACAATGACAGGCAAATATCCTGGGTGCATCTACTGCCACAGGTAACCTCTAACGCTGCCTTTGCCAACCTGGCTGTGTTGGCTAGGGCTTATGGGAACATCTGGAAGGCACCAGGTTGGCAAAGGCTACTGTACAGTGATTGTGAACAAGTTATTTTACTTTCTAAAATGACACTAAACAACTCACCCAGTACAGTGAGTGTTCGGCCTTGTTTTCAGATGCTCAAAAAAGACAACTAAGATAGCCCTCTAGAAGCAGGCATGAGAAAGGAAGCAACCAAACCCTGGGAGGAACAGCTTGCCAAAGTTTCTTGTTGCTTGCCTCAGATGGGTAGTAACTTGTAGTACTTGCCTTATTATCATTGCCGAAAAACAAATATGGTTGGTTTTTAGTTCAAGTTAATTTTAACCCTTAACTGAAGAAAAAGTGAAGAATTTCAAGGATGAGTCTTTCCCTATAGAAGACAGGACTCAAGTTAGAGCTGATGTAAATGTCAGCTGACTATATGCACCATGCATGCTGTATTATACTTGGGATTGTAAGGAAGATCATGCCTGTATATATCAGTGTCCATCAGACTGAGAGAAAGGCATTTCTTGTTTCTTAGTACTATAGCAATCAGGGCTAGTCACACAAACACTAAGATATCAGTATGTATATTACCATCTTTCACCTTCTATGAAGTAGAAGATTAATATGTAGAAGCTGAGCAGGACATTCTTAGTTTGCTTTTGACAACATGCTGAGTTTGATAGGTTGTGGAGGGCTGGGTGGTTTAGATCTAACAAGGGATAATCTCCAGCTCAGAAGGAGGATATGTGGTATCAACCTCTATTCAGGTCAGCTGGTTCACGTTGACAGAAACTTACCTTCCTGTAGCTATTGTGTCATGCAAGTGGGCCCTCTGTGTCTAGGTCATGACAATCATGCTAAACACTTGTATATAAACCAATTCTTTAAAAATTCAAATCTGTTTACTGCTCCCTCATTAGCAGCTAGGTTACCCCGATTGCTAGAAAATACTATGGAATTGGAAAACCAAAGGCAGAAGATGTAGCTTATGCACCAAACTCCCTTTAATTAACTTATATTAATCAAATACAAGGATTGTGTGCAGACAGTTGCAAACTGAGCAACATTCTGGTTCAATCACTCTGATGAAATGGTGGGGGGAAACAATCAATAGAAACAAAGAACAAAATGTTACAAGATTCATTTCGAAGACAGGCTCAAAATCTCCTTTAAAAGGATGCCAGGAACGTCAAAGGTGTTCAGAGACCAGGTCTTTTCTGCAAATATGACTAGGCTGAGTCAATATTTTCTCTCTATAGCAAATATATTCTTGGAATCTCCTACTAAAGAAAGAAGATAGCCAAAGGTAGGGCATGCAGGAGATCTGCCATTCCTGGATGGCTTTTAAGTCTTCTCCTATGAGTCCAAGGAGTGTGGAACATTTCTTCCCCCACAAGCAGAAATCCATGGATTGATTTAGTCACAGCAGCAGTTCAAGGCGAGCTATTGCATAAGCACCCTATGTAGGATAAGATACCAGTAACAGAATAGAGCCCAAAGGTCAATCTGCACTATTGGCACTGGCACTACACATCTATAAGTAGCTGCTTAAAGACAATCACATCAACTTAAGAAGGCGATTATATACCAACATGATCTCCACTGCATTAGTGGTACTTTGATTAAGGTGTGGGGGACCCAGAACAGCTGCCTGTTTTGTTTGTGGAAAAGCTTAATATACATACTCATATTAGTGCCTCAATACCCTGACCACAGATACGCATCAACAATTCAAACCCACTTCAAGGTGCCCGTGGACACTTTAATCAAAAGTGCACCTAGGCTACTACATTCTGAACTGCAAGTACCAAGCTGTACACCACAGCAAGCCGGATGACACTAGCTTTGCACTGGAAGCACTAGGAGAGCACTAAGCTTCAGTGGGATAAGGGACTTTTTAGTTGCATCCCAACAAGAGTATAGTTAAATCTCTGGAGTGCTATCTTTTTAATGTATTTTACATTGTTGTGAACCAACCTGGGATCTTATGGTGGAAGGGCAAGTAATAAATCAAATAATAAATAATAATAAATAATTCATGTGACCATGGAGGAATAACAGTACCACTCCTGACGGGCAATTGACCTTAGATCAAAACAACTTGCATGATACATAAAGAGTGCACCCTAGTGATGTCATTACTTCACTGCTGCCTGGGACTCTGACCAAACTGCATCATTTCAGCTTCATCGCTTGTTAAACAGCATCAATCTAGAGACTGATTGAAGAACAGTGTGTAACCTGCATCAACCTTGAAGCTGTTTGCCACTCTTTGGCTGAAGCATTCAGCTGGTGCATACCAAAGTGTTATGTACGTACAGGACCCAGTTGAGAGTTCTTCTTCCAAATGCTTATCCAAGGCTCAGTGGGAAATAGATGCTCAATTCTGCAGAATAAATGCTTGGAGAGAGAAGAAATAAACCCTGCATACAATTAATGAAGATTGCAAATATCCAGTGTAGGATATTCTCTTCAATAAACAAAAAATGGAAATAGAAGTTTCTGAAGATCATCAATAACACTGAGCAGTTGCTAACACTTTAGACTTTGCACAGAGTATGCTGGGTAAGAGTTAGACGGTAAGACACAAAATCAGTGTGGAAGTGATGGGTCTATGCTGACAGACCATTAGCAGCACTATACAAAGACAACAACAGGCCCTACCACTGAACATGGTGCTCTCCAGATGCTGCTGAACTCCCAACTCCCATCAGCCTCAGCCAGTAGGGACAATTGTCAGGGATGATAACAGTTGTAGCCCAGGAACATCTGGAGGACCACAGATCCTCCATCCTAGCCCTAAGTTTTTTTGCTCTTTGAAAGATAAGTTGTTCTTGGAGGAGCTGAGGGCTCAACATGAATTTAAAGAATTCAATCACAAACAGAACTTTATGTCCAACAGCAGGTAAAAGCTGTAGTTGAACACATGCCATCTGCTACTTTGATGAACAATTTCCTTTATCACTTGGTAGAAGAGCTTCCTAGTAATCTTGTCCTGAGCAGATAGGAACTCATTGCTTTCTCATAGTTTGCCTTGCAGCTATGTTTCCAAAGTGATTGTTTGACATAAGCTCTTAGGACAGATTAAAAAGAAAAAAGGTACATTGGAAATTTTAGTCAATAATCCCTTTTCAGAGGCAATGAAAACCAGCAGCTCTGAAGAGTTGCTGACACAAAATACACTGAATTAAATAACATATATCCAAGTGTATATATCTCTCATTTCTGCATTGGTGCCTTCCTTTCTTTTCCTTACTTAATATAGATTTTTGCAAACCATTGAGCTTAATTCCAAACTGTCTGCTAGAATTTGGCAAGACTGTTCAGAAACTAAACGTCTTACAGGCTACTAACATTGTTTCAAGAAAACTGAATCCATGATCAACAAGGATTTACCCATGTTAAACATGTTGGGTTGTATTCAACATTAGTCATACACTGAGCAGACCAACCAAAATTAATGGACATGGCTAAATTAGATTAATTTCAGTAATCCTAGTTTGAGTATAGCTTAGCTGTACAGAATCCAAAGTGTACTGCTGCACATTTTTCTTAGCATGGTGATGTCAATATTCAGTTGTCCACCTACCCACAGTCGCAAGTATGAAGTCTTACTAAATTTATATGGATTAGAAGCCAGATGAGACACACAGAGAGAGAGAGAGATAGAAAGAGAGAGAGAGAGAGAGAGAGAGAGAGAGAGAGAGAGAGAGAGAGAAAGAAAGAAAGAAAGAAAGAAAGAAAGAAAGAAAGAAAGAAAACTTGTTCTGTACTTTGGTTAGTTTTCTAGCAAGCAACAAGCTGCTGCAAGTATGTAGGGCACATTCCTGCCAAATTGTTAGCCTATGTCACAGCAACATGCGGAAGCGTGAATCTGTAGGAATTCTTGGGCACAACCATGATGTAACCCCTGTAGAGCTGAATTGCAACGATGAACTCCAAAAACAAGAAGAAAAAAGAGAAGAGCTCCATTTTCAGGATTTGGGGAATGAGCCAGAATTTAAAGAAAACTAGGTTTTGGTCCATTAAAAAACAAACACCTACAGCACAATTCCATGTTTGATTACTCAAGAACTCCACTCTGTTTAGTGGACTTCTTCCCAAGTACAGGACTGCTGCGTTAATAGTCAAGATCTGAGGACAGGTATTACTAACAGCTATGAGTTTGGAACTTAAAAGAGTTTTTTTAAAAAATGTAACTCAGCATAGCAGAGGGCAGACACAAGATTACTACCAGTTATGAAGTGTTCAAACATACACAAACACACAGCAGTGAACATATGCACACAGGATTCATATTAGTAAACACAAAACAGTTAAAGTACCTTATAGTAGGACACAGTTTGTAAACCAACCATATGTGGTCAATTACATTCAGTGGAGGTGACTTGAATGTCAGTTTCTCCTACCCACACATAAATTAATCCTCAAAGAAAAGAGAGTTTGAGAACAGCACTCAATGGTTTGATTTATCAGGACCCTGAAACAGAGAACACAATTCTGCACAAGTCTGTGTTTCGACTGAACTGAACTGTGACTCCATTGTATTCCAGGCCAAGTCAGCCAACAAAAAGTCATCCATAGCAGTCTGAGTCTCATTGCTAGTAAGAAATAAACTGCCAAGGGTTTCAAAACAGCTATCCATGGTCTGTGTTTCAGCACTATTCAGCTGGACTTTGCTTTCTGCCATTTGGTTAGAGGAATTTTTTGCAGGAAAATGCACTTCTGTCTGTGTTTCTGTATCAGATGAGTCTGTGCTCATAGAGAAGGTAGACTGTTTCAAGATGCTCCCCAAAGGCAAATAGGGGCTGTCTAAAAAGAAATTTAAGTCTGTCTGGGTCTGTGTGTCAAACATCTCCAAACCTAAGAAATTGGGATTACCCCTGCAGCTATAGGACTGGGTGGCATTATCTGAAAATAAATCTGTCTGGGTTTCAATATCTAGCAACTCCAAGACTGGCTCAGAGTTCAGCTGGGTCTCTTCTGTCTGTGTCTGGATATTGGAGGCTGTGAAGAAATCCTCAATGTCAAAATCAATTCCTGCGTTCTGTGTAGGGCCAGAAGGCAAGGGTGTGCCAGCATGCGAGCTAGTGTCAGTCAAAAGACTACGGTTATCCAATGACTGACCCGCTGTGTTATTCGAAAAAATAGTTTCAAGATCGTTCAGTAACTCCATTGTCTGGGTCTGATTATCTGTCATAACCTGCTGTGGGAGAATATTATTTTGTGCACTGAAGCTGATAACTGGCTCACACTTAGTGTCTGGACTCAAAGATTTGCAGCTTCCTCTTTGTAGCAGACTTTGACCCAGGCCTGCAGCCATTAAGTTGCTGCCTGGAAGTCCCACTGTGGTTGAATCACTGAATGATGAACTAACACTGTCAAAAATGTCATTGCACATTACAGCCTGGTCCATTTGTACTCTCCCATCAATATCTTTCTGCGACCTATTGGTCTGAGTCTCCCGAGAAATTCCACATGACTGAAAGCAAGCCTGTGCAAGTGCATCTGTCTGAGCAGCTATGGAAGAAGTCAACTTTGAACTGGGTAACAGTGTCTGTGTCTGCACATTAATTGGCAACAAAACCTGAGAGCTGAATGTCAGGTCTGTTTGAGAACAAGAGGACACCGATGAATCAGGAGTCCAGGCTGCAGATGTCACAAAGTTCTGCGAAATATAAGATAAGTCCGTCTGCACATTTGTTGAACAAATCCCGTTCTTGTAGCATATGGCTTCCAGATCTTGGATTGTATTATCTGATGCCCCTTTACCCAAATTGACCTGGATACCTGTGCTGACTGGCTCAACACTGCCAGCATTTTTGGTTTTTGAAAGGGGCAAGGTGCTTTTAAATGCAAGTGTTTCAGCCTCCAGTCCTGGTATCATAAATCCTACCGGCAGAGGCATTAAGTGAACAGTACTCATAACAGAGCCTTTGTCATCAACGGCAACTACAACGGGTTTGACAGAAGAGTCTGGTGCTGATACAAAGATAGGCAATTGAGTAAGCTGCATTACAGGGAGTTTAACCAAAGCCACTTTTGGCTTTGGCAGAAGCAACTTTGGTGAATTTTTTGGCTGCGTTTGTGTTTGCTTGGTAGTATAGGAACAGCTAGAATCTTCAAAGGAAGCTGCTGGCTTCATCTCAGAGGTCTCCAAGTCTTTAGTGCTAGTACATCTGGTCTGGACACTGGCAGAAGCTCCTTTAACTTTTTCTCCCACCAACTGATTGGATACAGAGGTTTCAATTTTCCTTTTCTTACTTGGTGGATCCCTGTAAATATTACAAAATCTTTGACTAGGTACAGCTGTAGCACATACTCCTTCATTCCCTCCAAATCTTTCCCACCCCACCACTTTTACCATTTCTATAACAGAATTTAGAATAATGTGAATTGTTAGCCTTGAAAGCATACTTAGAGAAATCAAAATAGTAACACACTGAATTATGGTAATGTTAAGCAGAAAACTGCATTGCTGGGTAAATAAGTCAGAGTTACAGTTAAACTCTGTGCCTAGGCTATTCAACCAAAGAATAATCTTACAGCAGTTTAGCAGCCAACAATGCTGACCTAAAAGTAAAACTTGCACTGCAATTCCACACAGTCTATAATACTGCATTTTGATAAAGGACTTCAAAAGCAGTAGTCACCCCGCCTCCCCACATTGAATGGAAATGCATTCTGAATTCTTAGATAGTTCAAACAGAATCACTTTTACTGGTGGCAGCATGTTGGATAATAATTGATTGTATAAAAGCCTGGAAAAATCCATGCCTCTTCAGTTATCCTTAAAAAAAAATGTTGGTAAGATAAGGGAAGCTGTCAGTGGCAGTGATCTTCACAGAATGGTGTTAGAACTCCTCCCCCTTCCAATGTTTTAAGGCAAATATATGTGCACATATATGAAACAGTTAACAAAGGAAAAATGTTGCCCTTACCTATGTTCAACAGGGATCTCATGCTGTGTCCTATAAATATGAGACAATAATGCTGTCCTGCTAGCATAGGGGCATCCACAAGTACACTGGAAAGACTTGCCACAGTCCTCACTATGTCGCTTCAGATCCCATATGGTGCCATAGGAATTGCTGCATTTATCACATTTATGCTTCTTTTCAGCATGCATTTTCATAAAATGCTGAAATATAAAAACAAAAGTTAGGTAAGTTATAGGAAACTGCCTTGGACAGCACTGGTTCATCTAGTTCAGTATTGTCTACACTGACTGGCAGCGGCTTCAGGATTTCAGACTGGGCTTTTTCTGAGCCCTACCTGGAGATGCCAGTGCTCTGTCACTGAGCGATGGTCCTTCCCAAACAAAAGAAAGTGGTACTATGTTTGAGACACAAAGCTGTTCAAGTTCCAGCCTTGTCTATGCAAGACAAGGCACTTTTAAGCATGCTGTCAACAACTGAATTTTCCATAATTTTTGATGCATTTTCATGCATTTTTAAATGACTGACTGGAGTTGATAGAGGGGGTTCAAGGTTTTTCTTGAATTCCTGAAAATGGTTAAAACATGGGAATGAAAGTCCATATGCACTATCTGGCTGCACCTCAACTCAATAAATACTACAACTGATTTTAACAATTCCACTCTTTCAAAAGTTATTAAGAATCAGAGAATGCATTTCTTAGAAGATCCAGACCTCTGACATGCAACCTGCATGAAGTTTGCAGTTAAGGTTCTCAATAATCTACACAGGCCCATTGTAAATTTTACAGTTATGTACTTCTGGTGAAAAGAGGGCATATTACAGAGAGTTAAAGGAGTAATTGAATTAACTAGTCAGAGCTCTACAGCAAAATTACCCTCCAATTTGTTCCTTTCATTTTCAGCTACTGAAGGCATATCTCAGCACATTTAATAAGTTTAATTTTCTAACAAAAGAGTAGTATGTATAAAACCTGTGCAATGATGCTGCAGGCTCCCTAGTTCCATGAGAGCTCTTTCCCAACACACTGATCCCATAAACAATAGACAACTGACAATATGAAATGACATTCATAAGAAGCTTCTCTTATAATGGTATACATTTACACAGAAATCTTGCAATTCAGAAAGATGCATGGCTCTTGAATAAGCTGTTCCATATAAATTATATTGTTCTATTTATTGAATAATGTAGTTAGAATACATACCTGTCGTACAAGAGAAAATTGTGAAAAAGGCCTTTCTGGTCCTCTAGGGCAACCTTCAATAGGACAGCAGTAGTATTTCTGTGGCGTTTTCAAGTCTTTCCTTATTGCAGGATTTATTTTTCCATCCTGTAGGAGAAGAATATTATTAAATTGTATCTAATGTTTGGGGTTCAGAAGTATCTGGAATACAAATAAAGCTTGTCTTTATACAGCATTTTGCCTGCCTGCATACTGAAGAGATTCTTCACTTGAAACTTCTGTACATGTTTCAGTTATTCCCTATATGGAATAAAAACTTTAGGTAGTTTACATCCCAACTCACTCTAATTGCCTAGATTATGTGACAGGTAGTTGATTATTCACTAACCCAGTTGGGTCAATCCTGGCTAAATAAGCAGAGGTATGTACAAGGCTTTTGCTCATGTGCTCTATCCCATGTGCTCTGATTTAGAGAAGCCGTCCTGGTTTCTGATTTGATCCCAGAATGTCCTGCTTTTCCTTAGGATGTTCCTGTTTTCACTGAAGAAATGTTAGAGGGTATGGAGTTATCTAACCCCCGAGCTGTCTGAAGGCAATACTGTATAGGGAAGGTTTTTTTAATGTTTCATTATGTTTTCATATATGTTGGAAGCTGCCCAGAGTGGCTGGGGCAACCCAGTAAGATGTGTGGGGTATAAATAGTAAAATTATCATTATGGAATGGGATGTCCCTATTTTCATCGGAGAAATGTTGGAGGGTATGCTATTCTCATGCTGCCACTTTTTTCCTTGGCACGCTGTGAGAAGCAAGGCAATTTTCAATTAACGATAGGTCCCAGTAACATAGTTACAATGTTCCAAACCACCCAGGATTTTAAACCATGGTTTGAAAATGTTCCAAACCTGAGACAACCAGTTTCCTAGTGCTAGTGTAATAAGAGTAGATGAAGAATTCTGGGGTTAATTTTGGGGCACCAAGAAGGAGGGAAGGGTGTGTGTGGACACAAGGCTTATTCACATCTGGGCTTGTTAAACCAAGAAGATATGATTGAGTGATCACTGTCACTTAGGAAACAGAAACATTTTGCAGAAAACATTATGCTGAACTTTTAGACCAAACGATTTAGAACCAAACATCTCACCGCAAGAGAGTGTAATGTTCAGTTTCAAAACAAACTGAAGCTAAGGAGACTAGTGCTATACCAATGACTTGTGATGTCAGAGCCATGAACCAGATCAAGGAACCACTGACTGCTCCAGTCTCTCCATAGCTGAACTTGAGCAGGTTTTTGAACATACTGTGATACAGAGCAAGCATGGACAAAAACACAGAATAATGAACATATTATTTCCTATAATATTATATTTAAAAATGCAAAGTTTCTGGCACTTCTGGTTGGAAAGATTTGCTTGAAATATGTGTGGATATGGCTCCTAAAATCTCAGAAGCCAGAAGGAAATCAGTAGGATTTCCAGTAGCTTTGAGATAGGGCTTAATTCCAGTAGTTTGGGGACAGGGATTCAGTGCCCAACATTGCAAAATAGTTTGATTGCAGAAGTATATGGGTGTGGTTCAATTAATACAAAGAGACAGCTTTCCTTGGTGTAAAATTTGGACTGCAGAACTTTTAAAGGCTTTTTAAAGTGTGGCATTCTCTTTATACATTAAGGAACCCAAGCATTCGTAATCCAAGGCTTTCCAAACCAGCTGCATTAGATACATGCTCAGACTGGCTGGAGTGTAAGTTTCATCATCGGTGCCCAACCTCTTCTCTAACTTCTTTTTATCTTCCCTTTCAAAAAGGAGTGGGGAAAGTGTGAGAGAACAGTCTAGAGATGCTAAAACCTGAAATGCAACGATTCAGTCCTGAAGAATGCAGGAAGACTCTCTCTACTCTTCAGGCCGTCCCTACCCTTCTGTTAATAAACAGCAGTGGTAGCATATATAAATCCCTAGGAATGAAAAATATTTCCAGACCTTAAGCAAAAGAATCTTTAAAAACAACAAAAAGCTGCCAGCATTTATTTATTACATTTTTCATCTTAGGCTTCCACCCATCCATTTTATCTTCACAACTACTACATGAAGTAAGTTAGGCTGAAGAATAATGACTGCCTCAAGGTGACCTAGTGAGATCCATGAATGAGTGGTGACTTAAAACTGGCTCACAGACCCATTGACTGGAGTCTTCCTGTTTATTTTACAGAGCTCAGTTTCCCCATATACAATGCAAGTCTCACTTCAAAATGCCCTCACAAGGGTATACAGATTTCCATTTACTCATAGTTCTAAAGCACTATCAGGTATCTTAACTGTCTACTGTAATATTGGCACTAAAATATAGAATACCATTTTGAGAAAACTCTTTGTTGGTTGGAGCAAAAATAAGTCTGAAAAGATATCTCTGAGTTAAAAGCCCAACAAGCCAATATGCCACCCTGCGATATGTAAAGGGATGAGGAGAGATTGCAAGGAGTCCAAGTAGGACCTGTTGCAATATTATTGTCACATTACTTCAAAATCTTAATGAAGTCAGTACTTTCCAAACAAAGTATCTGGCTGCAAGATGGAGGACACTGTTTTATAAACACTCGTTTTGCTCTAAATAGCTACAGCTTCCCACCAGAGGTTTTATCAAGCACTTCTGGAAGGGATTTGGAGAAAGCCGCCAGCCACTTCCCATTAAAGGTCACATTTCAAATTTGGAAAGAGATTAAAACTTAAATAATATTATCAACAAAGTACGATCAGAAGCAGGAACCCCACCATAAAGGCAGTAGCAAAGATGTGAGTACTTCACTTAAATACAGTGGTGCCTCGCAAGACGAAATTAATTCGTTCCGCAAGTTTTTTCTTCTTGCGAGTTTTTCGTCTTGCGATGCACGGTTTCCCATAGGAATGCATTGAAAATCAATTAATGCGTTCCTATGGAAACCGACTTCAGACCAGGTCCGGGGACAATCTGTCCCCCGACCTCTTCTGAAGGCTGGGGGGGGGGCGAAAGTCTTTGCTCCCCCCCCGCTGCGTTTCTCCGCTCCCCCGGGAGGGCTTTTAAAGGCAGGCAGGCAGGGGGGACAAACATTTTCGCCCCCCACCAGCCTTCAGAAGGCTGGGGGGGGGCGAAAGTCTTTGCTCCCCCCCCCCACGGCAGCATTTTAAAATCGCCCCGGACAGCGGAGGACTTCTCCGCTGTCCGGGGCGATTTAAAAGCCCTCCCGGGAAGGCAGGCAGGGGGGACAAAGATTTTCGCCCCCCGCCAGCCTTCCCCTCTTTTGAAGCAAGGGGCGGCAACGGGGAGAAGATCGCTTCTCCCCTTTGCCGCCCCTTGCTTCAAAAGGGGTCCGGGGGGAGAGAGAGGAAGGCGCGCGCCTTTCCCTCTGTCCCCTCTTTTGAAGCAAGGGGCGGCAACGGGGAGAAGATCGCTTCTCCGCGTTGCCGCCCCTTGCTTCAAAAGAGGTCCGGGGAGAAAGGGGAAGACGCCAGCATTTTAAAAAACCTCGGGACAGCGGGGGACTTCTCCGCTGTCCGGGGCGAATTTAAAATGCTGGCGGGCGGCAGCGAAGCCTTCGCTGCCGCCCGCCAGCATTTTAAAAACCTCGGGACAAAGGAGAAGTCCCCCGCTGTCCCAGGGTTTTTTTAATGCTGCTGGGCGGCAGCGCTGCCGCCCGCCAGCATTTTAAAATCGCCCCGGACAGCGGAGAAGTCCTCCGCTGTCCCGGGGTTTTTAAAAAACCTCTCCGCCCCCCGCCAGGCTTCAGAGCAGCCTTCCGAAGCCTGGCGGCGGGAGGAGGTCCGAGGACAGTGGGCAAGACGCCCTGTCCCGGAGATTTCCCTATGGGCTTTCGTCTTGCGAAGGAAGCCCATAGGGAAATTCGTTTTGCGAAGCGTCTCCAAAACGGAAAAACCTTTCGTCTAGCGGGTTTTCCGTCTTGCGAGGCGTTCGTCTTGCGGGGTACCACTGTACCAGGATTTTGAAAACAGCACCATGGGCTCAGGCACAAAGCTCATTTTCAAGATAAACACAAGAGAAGAGAAAGTTACGGGAGAAAAGAAAGATTAGCGGTAGGGATTCTGGCTTTGGTGAGAGGAGGTTTCCTTGCTTAGCCTGAAATACACAGAGCAGCTGAAGGAATCTGTAATTAAGTACAGTGAGCCTTTCATAGCTACAGTGATTAGGTTACTAGGGTTTCAGGCTAGGTCTGGGAAGGTTATGAAGTTGTCCTTACCTGGGGCATACTCAGAGATTTTAAGAAAAGTACAGTGGTACCTTGGTTCTCAACATCTTGGTACTCAAACAACTTGGAACCCAAACACTGCAAACCCAGCAGGAAGTGTTCTGGTTTGCAAAATTTTTTCGGAAGCTGAGCATGCTCAGTTTTGAATGCCACACTTCCATTTTGAGTGCCACACTTCTGTTTTGAGGTCTGTCTGTTTTTGCTATTTATTTTGCATTTTTGTAGCTCTTTTCTGTTTTGATTTTGTGACAGTGTGGAACCCAGTTCAGCTACTGATTGATTGGTTGTGTGACTGCAGTACATTGATTATTGCTTTCATTTTATGGATCAATGATATCGTTAGATAGTAAAATTCATGTTAAATTGCTGTTTTAGGGGTTGTTTTTAAAAGTCTGGAATGGATTAATCCATTTTGCATTACTTTCTATGGGAAAGCGCACTTTGGTTTTGGAACAGACTTCCGGAATGGATTAAGTTTGAGAACCAAGGTACCACTGTACAGAGTGAATTTGTGGAGTGAAAGAGCACATAGGTTGCGATAAAGCAATGTAGATGGTGAGGGGATACTGTTCATTGAACCTAGGAAGCTTAGATGAAGTACAGTTTCAGAGCTTAGGAAGGGATTTCTAAATATTTTAAATGGGGATGCTCTTGCCTGATTTTAACAACAGCACAGCTTGGCGGGCAGGATGTTTGGCTGGAGTGAGGAATCAGGAAGGGCTGCAACAAGGCCAAATGAAGCTGCAACTTGTATCAGTGGGCCATAGTATTAGAAGGATTCTGAGAGTTTGAAGAAACCCTGACCTGCACCTAGTACATTTATATAAGAGCCTAAGAAACAGATTTTAGGGTGGGTTTATAATTTGGCCCTTCAAGAGGTGCCTCCTCATATTTGCTTACAGAAAAAGCTTTTTAGTGTGTAAATATGTTTGTGTGAGAGAGTGTACAGGAGGATCATAGTGAGGGGATTTGTCAGATGCTTATGGTGAGGGTCACAGTTTAGTGGTGCCACTACTTGTCTCCTTTTTGCAGAAAGACATATCATCATATGGGGCTAAATAGGTGGTGGCAGCAGCAAGTGTCTGGAAGGTCCAGTTCAAATTATGTAGTCACTTGAGACTTCTAGTTCGGGCTTTGGTTCTAAACCTGCTTACTATGAGGGAGCAAGATCAGTGGTTCTCCAATATTACAGGCAAGTCTTCCCCAGCCCTGTTACTCAAAACAACCCTTTACAGTGGTACCTCGGGTTACATATGCTTCAGGTTACATACACTTCAGGTTACAGACTCTGCTAACCCAGAAATAGTACCTCGGGTTAAGAACTTTGCCTCAGGATGAGAACAGAAATCGTGCTCCGGTGGTGCGGCGGCAGCAGGAGGCCCCATTAGCTGAAGTGGTGCTTCAGGTTAAGAACAGTTTCAGGTTAAGAATGGAATTAAGTACTTAACCCGAGGTACCACTGTACTTATGTTACACATTGTTCTAGGTCAAGCAGAATGTGTGGTGGATGATTACCAATTACGGTATGTATTGCAACTCTGTGAATGAATGGTTAGAATGGATACTTTCTGCTGAAAAATTACTAAAGGAAAGGAAGTAGGATGGCAGCTGAGCTGAACTGCTAAGTATCACAAATAAACAAAGCATTAGAATTCTGCCTCTACAGAATCATCATGAAGCTACAGAGTTAAGAACCCACAATAAGAGCCACAGTCCTTGGAAGTCACAGGCTAACCTATGATTAACAGAAATTCCAGAAGCATGAGAGGAAAATAACATTCCAAGGATAGCTGGTACCCAGTCTTCCCCAGGAAGAACAGAAAACATCCTGATAATGCCAAAGTTACTTGTAATTATGATGCCAATCCACCAAGTAACGAACTAGAGAATTTTGGGAAGTACTAAGTGAACAGACGAAGAGGCTCAGATGATCAAGTTATTGAGGGATAAAAGGTATTAGAGGGACAGAACCATTTGGGGAGGGGCAAGATCTCTGCAGTGTAAAGCTTCCACCACAAACCCCACTCCATCACAGAGTGTTTGTGAGTGTATGAGACCTCTCTAACTTTGATTTCAATAAACCCAGTGTTTTGCCTCCCCCCTATAAGACCCTCACTAACTTATTTCAGGCTGAGTATAGTCTGACTATACTCCCAACATTTGGAGATACTGATGATTGAACCTGAAACCTTCTACATTCAAAGCATATGAAATGAGGTTACAGTGGGTTGGGTTTCCATGGGTCTTCTCTGAGTAGAACTAACCTTGGATACAGCCCATTATACTGACTCAAAGGACAAAGTATGGCACTTTCATATACCATATTCATATGACTTAGATCAGGAATGGCAATGTGGTGGCCACCAGTTGTTATGGACTACGATCCCCCCATAATATCTGATTACTGGCCATGATGGCTGGGGCTGATGGTGGCAGCTGTAGTCCAAAATGTCTAGAGGGCACCATGTTGGCTACTCCCAGTCTTACACCAATGGTTATCTAATTCAGTATTTTCTATCTTGACTGGCCACAGGTCTCTCGGATCTCAAGGATATTTATTTCCCAATAAGATACTTTTAACTGGAGGTTAAACAAGGAATCTTCTGCATGAGCAACTAGGGAGCTACTTCACACCAAATCTGATCAAATGGTTCATCCAGCCCAGTATCATCTGCCACAACTAGCAGAAATCGAATCTTGTACCAAGACTGAACCTGGAGCTTTGTGCAAGCAAAGGATGTGCATCAATTTAGCTATGGGCCCTCCCTAACATTTGCTTTTTTTAAAAAAAGTATTTTATTATCATGGTTGTATGGCGTCCTGGCAGCTTTGCTAGAGATGCCTGAAACCTTTAAATAAAGCTAAGAAGTAACTGTGAGTGGGAAAGGGAGTCTCTGATGTTTGATTTAACTTTGTACTGGCACACCACTTTTCAAGCAAAGAAAATGAGCTCAAAGTGGCTCACAACAACAACAGAGCATTAAAAAGATATTAAGAATGCCGCTGGAGGAGGGAGGGAGGGAGGGGAAAGGGGTATCTGAGGTAAATCAACCAAAAGGGGGTGGGGTGCAGAGAATAGGAAAAGGGCTTTTGTTGCTGTGATTATTATTAATAACTGTCTATAGCTACCAGTTAATAATTATTGCCTGGGATATGAGGAGGGGCTGAATATTATAATTAATAATTGAATTTTGCCAGCTACCCACCAATACTTGGGAACGTTGTGAACAAACCGATGCTGGAAGGGAGTGATTATTAACATTAACATTTGAATTCAGATAGCCGCCACCAATGAGAATAATTGAATTCTGATAGCTACCCATCAGTAGTACATTGTTACCTGGGAAGCTTATAAAGAAACCGAATGCTAAAAATGAAACCCCTCTCTGGCGCGCCTCTGGAGGGTCCCGGAGGAGCGGGAGAGGGGAGGACGCCGCCGCCGCCGCCGCCACTTACCTGCTGCTGCTGCACGCCGTGGGCCTTGCTGAGGTGCATGCTCAGCGCCGGCGGGTTGGGCAGCACTTTGCCGCAGCCGGGCACCGTGCACAGGATGTTGCTCCTGACGGCCCGCGAGAGCTCCGTCACCGAGGGCCTCACCAGCTCCCACGGGCTCGACGGCCGCTCGCGGGGGCCGCGCGGCGCCGACCGCGGAGGGCGGCCGAGCCCCAGGCCCAGGCCGGGCCGCCGAGCGGGCGGCGCCCGTGACACGGCTGCTGCCGCGGCTCCTCCTGCCGCCGCCGCTGCTGCTGCCGTAGCCGCCATGTTGCTCTCGGCCGTTCCCGATCCGCCGACCGGCGGGGCACTTCCGGTGGCGGGAGGAGAGGGAGAAAGAGCGTGCAAGGGAACTCGGCGGAGAGACTGACAGGGAGCTCATACATATTTATACTTGGCGTTTTCCATATTCATGAGGGGCGCGCGTTCTACGAAACAAGTCCCACACCCAGTTTGCGCCTAGTGCCTTTCAGATATTATCCGCGGCTGGAAATAAAAGTAGACCAGCATTTTCTATCTCTCCATTTGTAAAATGGAATATGGCTTATTGATAAGAATGTGGACAAAACAGGGTGGTGGTTACACCCCCCCCATTCAGCAGTTGCATATGAAAGATCTTGGGTTCTGAGGCCTGACCGCAACTGAGAACCGATAGGTAGAAATTCTGTTGTTATTTGCAAAAGTTTGTTTGCAACTTGTGTACATCCATGGGCGTAGCCAGGATTTATGTTGGGGGGGGCAGGCTTCATGTTAGGGGGCAAATCCTCAGTTTATTAACCCCTGCCGACGCCCATGTGTACATCCTCAGATGAACTCAATCCCATTTTACACAGGGACAAAGCACAAAAAAAAGTATGAATTTTTCCAATGTATGAAGCTATGGATATCATGAACACTGGAATACAGATCTCTACATTCCAAATCTACCTGTTAAATGAACTCAAATTGATATGTACACACAGTGTTTTTTCTGGGGGGACACATGGGTACGCATACCCCTAAACGTTTTATGAATCTTTGTACTTTTGTCCATTTACTGTATTTATTTTTCCCAATTTGAACTATAAAATTGTGTTTTTCTTCCAAGTCAAAATGAGTACCCCACAACATGTGAATTAACTTCAAAACAGGCTTGGACATTAAATAATAGGAAGAAAATCTAAAAAAGGCTTATATTAAAGAAGAAGGAATACAGTTAGCAGTTGGATTAAATATTCATTAATGTCAGTGTTTAACCTTTAAAAATTCAAAATAATGATTTTACATCTATAGTAAATAAATCTTTGATTCTCTAAAATATGCTGTCTCTCAACCTTCTTTGGAAATCTGATTGTAATTCAACAGAGGCACACATACTTGATATAAGAGATACTACCAGTATAATGGGGCCAGTTACATGCTCAGACTTTGCAGAGCTTTGAATCAGGGTATTTTGTTATTCAGAGGGGGTGGCTGCTTCAGAGTTTGTCTCATTATACTGTACACAGCTTGAGTTTTGTATACATCATATCACTATCACTACTGATGACTATATTTGGGGGTAAAACAGCAAGAATGTGTAAGCCACTGGACTAGAGAACAAGGAAATGCATTACTAATTCCAGTTCTTCGATAAGCACACTACTGTATTAAATGGGAAGTGGCAGTAAAATGTAATAGCTTTATTTACTCTTGTGAAAAAACTTGGACTCAGGCAGTTATAAGCTTTCATTTATTTAATCACACAGCTATTTTAAAACTAATATTACAAGCACCATGTTTATTATAATTTTAATATCATATCAATAAGAATTTTAGTTTCATTTGGTTAAACAATCAAGCACTTTGATATCACATCTAACTTCAGTTATTTGCTAAAGTTCACCTACTCATTGTCCAGGAAGTACACACAGACTCTGGTCAACAGGTCACACCAGCTAGCAGGCTACAGCCTGCTAAGATGCCATATTGTAATCTGACCAACTGAATTGTAAGAAGTTTATGGGAATAGATTCCATGTTGTTTTATTTTGCTGAAGAGAAATAATCCACTCCTTTGTCTAAAAATGTCATTAGCTTGCAAGGGTTTGTGATAGTGCACTTTTTCTCTCATTAATTCTAAAATAGTTCCTGGCTTTTTGGGTGATGCAAGTAAGTAATGGTGAAGGGGGAACATCTGCCAGCCCTAGAATAGAAGAAAACAAAATTAGAATCAGTTCTAAGTTTTGCATATGGTTCCATATTGCCTTGAAAGTACAGCTGTCCAAAGAACAAAACAGTTGGTGGGACCTGTCTTTTAAGGGTCACATAAGCCTTTTCTTTTAAATACAGCTCTTCACTCGGTTTATGCACTTGCATTTTATTCTAGATCACTATAACAGTCTATAATCCTCTGTATGTTACACTAGACCAGGACTGGAGAACTGATGACCCTTAATTAGCCATGCTTATTACAACTCTCATAATTTGCCTTAGTTACTAGATGTCATAGGGGTTGGTCCAATAGTTCCCTACCCCACACTAGGGGACCATTAGTCAAGTTCAGCCCCTAATGTCTCCTGCTTGCATAGTTTGATACATTTCAGTTTCTCACTCCCCTGTGCAAGTCAAGCAATAGGAACTGAAGTCCGAACATTCAGCTGCAGTGCTTAAGGGCTCTGAAGATGTTATGGAATCATTTGCCTGCATCTTAGCTTATGTTGGAATGTTGGCACAGCCAATATTCCGCAAATCAATTTTTGGCACTTAAATACAGTAGAACCTATACTTATGACTGCCTCTACTTGGGCCTGATCCAAGTTGCGACCATGGCAAACCCGGAAGTAAATACCGGGTTTGCTGCGATTCGTGCATGTGCAAAAGTTGCTGCCACTGAATGCACCTGCACACAACAGTGCTTCTACCAGCGACCCTGATCGACTTATGGACGGACCTCTGGAATTGATTACGTCCGTAAGTAGAGGTTCCACTGACAAGTGAAACAGAGTATATTTTGCCAGTTGTCTGATTATCAGCTGTCATTTAAAGCCTAAACCAGTTTTAAAACATTAAAAGATTAAAAATAAGTTTGGCAGTGGTGGTACTGAAACTCAGGAATTACTGCTTCTATGGAATCCTTATGCACCAGATAAGCATACAAAACATAATACTATGAGTGTGAATTCTCAGACACTGGAACACTTACCGGCAGGTGCTAGGGATTTCAGTGACTCTAAAAGATGAGGACTAGAAAACTTGACCATACATCTAAACGGGTCTTTATTGTTCAAGATACCATTTTCTTGTTCGTTTCTGAACATAGTCTCAAGCTGTAAGTCAAATCAATAAATGGGTTTATAAAAAAGAGCTCTTTGTAGCTTATAATAAGCAGATAATTATTTTTACAGTTCAAAGTGCTAAAACTACACTTCATTTTCAGCCAACAGATTATTACACTCAGGATCCTGGTTTAAGATACCATGGTGGTCCATTAATTATCTGCTCTCAGAATCCAACAGTTATCCTTTCTCGCACCTCATTTTAAAAGAGCTTTATGCATTTTCTTTAAGAAATCTACAAACAGGAACAGCAACTTTTTCAGATTTTACAATCCTGTTTTTTTCAAAGTATTTATGTTTTCTTAAGTATGTGTGTGTATACACACACACAGAGCCAATCAGTGAAGTTTGAGCTCAACATATGGAGAACTATATCACTCTGGTGGAATTCTACCTGTATTGTACCACTTTACTTGGGCCTTCTGTCACAAAGACATTAAAGAAAACAGGTTCAATAGATGTGCATTAAAAAAACACCAAAGAGTGCCCCCCTGTGGCAAATAGGCAACAATGCCTAAAACAGCCTCATTCATAGTTTTAAAGAACCCAAAACACCTGCAGCAATTTTGATTCCATTTTTGTCACTGCACTAAGCTACATATTCTAATTTACTGTCTCAGTATTGCTACAGTATTGGCTCAATTAAAAAGCGTAAGAATTACTTCAGTCTCAGCACACTACCCTCTGGGGTAGTTGTGAATTGAGAAAAGTACTTTAACATTTCAAGACCATGATGTATCAATTACAACATCAAAGGGATATCGCCATTCTGTATACAGGGTAATGATCTGCATGCACGGCTGGAAAGCCCATGTGTATGTAAAATAGTTCATTTAAGAAAAGTAAGCCATTTAAGCCCAGGTTTTTAGACTGTATTTCTAGCAGTCTATACAGTATAAGAATGGACTCATGCAACACTGAGGAACAAATCAATACTCTTTCAGTTAGTACAATGAATTCTGCACGCTAACAGTTAACCTATCTTATAAAAATTGCAGGGCTGCTACAGAAATAGAAAACTTAGTCAATAATATGAATTTTAGGCCACAAACAACTCTAATTGAACATAGGAACTTACTTCTGAGTAAACAAATAGGATTGAAGTGGTAATAGAATAAACAGAATAAAAACTGAACTTGTTTGTGCATCTTACACAGGGGAGTACCTCCCCTGAGATGGTGCCTACTATACAGTTTCATATATTCCCGTATTTCTTTTTAATCTGATTAATGGCACCTTTTTCAGTTGATCAAATAGTCTTATTCAATTAATCTAAGTAGTTAACTGACACTTCAGCCCTAAGTATTGTTTTGTGCAAAAATAAATTTTATAGAATACATATACATAATAAATGTATATTTGTGCATTAAAATTATATAATATGCATTAAATATAATTTTACCTTGTATTGTGCAAACTCTAGTTTTGGCTGAGGACCATCACCAAAGGCTTCCTCATTAATTCTTTCAGTTCTTTCCTTTTTAAGTTTATCTTCCTTAACTATATTTGGATCCACTGAAAGTACAAAACCATATAAAATTTCATGTAAAATGTTATCCTTTTCAAAGTGGCATTCAGAACTGAACAGAATTCCAAAGATGTAAAGGTCATGATGCAACAGAGTAAGACATACACACGCAGTCCACTGTTGTGTGCTTGAAGTACTATATGAATTGTGCTGCAGTGCCCCCCCCCATTCATTTACTCTATAACAAACATACTAAAAGTGAACATATCAACACCAGAGAAAGCTATGAACTTCCAGCTGTGAGTTAAATGCATGCAAGACAAATATTAGCCACTATTTAAGTTTCTGAATATTTATTTAAATATTTTAGAAGATTGATAAACCTCTCCAATTAGTGCACAACTTGCTGAACCACTTCCTGTGC